TTTTTTCAATGGTGTGTAAAGACTAATTTGGTTTTTATTAAGCGTTTTTTTTTTCAAGACAAAATGTGTATATGATATTAAGTGTAATTCAACTAGATTGCAATGTTATATAATGTTCAATGTAAACGCAATGTTATATGTGATTAATAACATAATGTCTATTTCAATATTGGCTTCCTTATGATTCATAACTTAATCATAAAATTTTTCAAGTCACTAATTCAATTGGTTCGGTTGTTTCAGAATGATTTAGGGGGATTTTCATGAGAGGAAAACAATCGGGTCAACGACAGATGCATACGAAACGCTATTAACACTTTCATTTCTTTAAAGAATTTTTTTCCAGAAACTGAAAATAAGACTCATTTATATTCCATATTTGGCATCAGAATCACAAAGCTAATGATATTAAGACTACTACTGATACAATTCTATATGAAAAAAATAACCGTAATCACTCGTAATTGGCGAAAATGTACATAAAATCGACTGAACAAAACAAAGATCTGTTATGAGAAAGAAAAACAGATAAGACAAAAACAACAACGAATTGTACAAATAGGTAGATAGTTATTCCTAATCAATGAAAGGCACAACGCAAAACGTTATTCTACGAAACAGTAATGAAATTTTTCCCAACTTAGTTGACATATATTACATAAAGCGCTCGAAAACAGGACGTCACTATCGGAAGTCTCAAATGACATAAAATTGGATGTCACTGAAATTACATCGTTTTCAAACTGCGGTCAATTCATTCATTTTTGGCACTAAAACTCAATTCTTTTTCACACGAAAAAGTTCACTTCGTTGAAACTAAATGGAGCACCACACACATTNACTAAAACTCAATTCTTTTTCACACGAAAAAGTTCACTTCGTTGAAACTAAATGGAGCACCACACACATTATCTCAAAGAATGGGACTATTTTACTGTTCGGATTGTTTTGCGCTACTAGGGAATGCGGCAGCTAGTTTAGCAGCCCTCTCTTGTGCTTCAGCGAATGCATGCGGCAGATCACGACAAATCACTGATATTCGACGTTCACGAGGTACGGGTCGACCGTTGAAGAAAGACTCGTCTTTACCCAACACCTCATGAGTGAATTCGTATCGACCATATTCCCTAAAATAATGATTGGTCTTCGCTGAAACCAAACGAAATGCGAAAATTGAACAATCCATCCATATCATGACAATCTCTCTAGGAATCATCGCATAATATGAAAAACTAGCCCTACACCTCTATGCTCGTCAAATCAATAACCGAAGTTACACTACTGTGAAATTGGATGATTTCCTATGCTAATGTCGTTAGCTGCGTCAAAAGACGGATGTTAAGAAAGGAAGCATGTGATAATTGTGATCTTGGTGTTAAGGACGAGGCATAAACTTGTAAAGTTATAATTGCTGATTAAATAAAGCACTAAATATCATCCCATTCCATCCCCGTTATGCCAACGAAAAAAGACAGCAGAGACAGCAGCAAAAATAGAAACTTTAGCGGTATCTGTTTCGAGATGTTACGATTGCTTTTTCAAGTTACATTCGTTTAAAACAAAT